GCAAATAATGAGAGTTTTACTTCCTCCTTTCCAAATTGAATGCCTTTTATTTCTTGCCTAATCCCTGTGGCTAGGACTTCCAATACTATGTTGAATGAGGATGGTGAGAATGGACATCCCTGTCTTGTTTCTGTTCTTAGAGGAAATGATTTTAGTTTTTGCCCATTGAGTATGATATTCTCCATAGGTTTGTCATATACAGCTTTTATTATGTTGAGATATGCTTCTTCTATTCCCACTTTGCTGAGAGTTTTTACCAAAAGAAGGTGTTGGATTTTGTTGAATGCTTTTTCTGCATCTATTGATATGATCATATAATTTTTATCTTTCAGTTTGTTTATGTGATATATCACATTTATTGATATGCGAATATTGTACCAGTCTTGCATCCCTGGAATAAATCCCATTTGGTCATGGTGTATAATCTTTTTAATATATTGCTGGATCCAACTTTCTAATATTTTCTTGAGAATTTTAGCGTCTATGTTCATCAGGGATTTTGGCCTGTAATTCTCTTTCTTTGTAGTGTCTTTATCTGGTTTTGGAATTAGGATCATGCTGCCCTCATAAAAAGAGTTTGGATGTGTTTCTTCCTCTTGGATTTCTTGGAATAGTTTGAGGAGTATAGGTGTTAGTTCTTCTTTGAATGCTTAATAAAACTCCCCTGTGAAGTCATCTAGACCCGGGATTTTGTTGGATGGGAGTTTTTTAATTACACTTTTATTTGATCAGTTGTTATTGGCCTACTCAGGTTTTCTGATTCTTTGTGATTCAGTTTTGGAAGGTTGTATTTTTCTAGGAATTTGTTCATTTCATCCACATTATCCAGCTTTTTGCCATATAGTTGTTCATAGTATTTTTTACAATCCTTTGTATTTCTGTGGTGTCAGTGGTTACTTCTCCACTTTCTTTTCTAATTTTATTTATTTGGATGTTCTCTGTCTTTTGTTGAGTCTGCCTAGCGGTTCATCAATTTTGTTTATTCTTTCATAGAACCAGCTCTTGGTTTCCTTGACTTTTGTATTAACTTTTTAGTCTATATCATTTATTTCTGCTCTAATCTTTATTATTTCCTTCTACTTTCTCTGGGCTTTTGTTATTCTCTTTCTAATTCTTTTAGTTGTAGAGTTAGTTTATTATTGGTTTTTCTTGTTTCCTTTTTGTGTTGTTTTAGTTTCTTGAAGTATTCCTGTAGTGCTATGAACTTCCCTCTCAGGACTGCTTTTGCTGTGTCTCAGAGATTTTGAGTTGTGTGTTCATTTTCATTTGTTTCCAGGAAGTTTTTTATTTCTTTCTTGATCTCTTTGGTAACCCATTTATTGTTTAATAACATGCTACTCAGCCTCCATGTGTTTGAATGTTTTGGGGTGCTTTTAATATAATTGATTTCTAATTTTATTCCACTGTGATCTGAGAAGATGTTTGATATGATTTCAATCTTCTTGAATTTGAAGAGACTTGTTTTGTGTCTTGACATGTGGTCTATCTTTGTGAATGATCTACTTGAGGAGAATGTATATTCTGGAGCTTTGGGATGAAATATTCTATAAATGTCAATTAAGCCATCTGCTCAGTGTGTCTTTTAGAATCACTATTTTCTTGTTAATTTTTTGTCTGGAAGATCTATCCAGTGAAATCAGCAGGGTGATAAAATCTCCTATTATGACTGTATTGTTGTTGATCACAACCTTAAAGTCCTCTAGAATTTTTTCATATATTTAGGAGCTCCTATATTGGGTGCATATATGTTTACCACGGTTATATCCTCTTTTTAGGTCAATCCCCTTAATATTATGTAGTGACCTTTGTAATCTCATGATGACCTTCATTTTGAAGGTTATTTTGTCTTATATGAGTATTCCTACCCCAGGTTTTTTTGTTGCCATTTGCATGAAAAAAATTTTTCCATCCCTTCACTCTTATCCTGTGTGAATCTTCTGTTCTGAGGTGGGTCCCTTGTAGACAGCTTATAATTGGGTCATGTTTTTGTATTCATTTAGCTACCCTGTGTTTTTTGATTAGAGCATTTAATCCATTTGCATTTAAGGTTATTGACTAGAGGCCTAGTGCACAAATTCGTGCACCAGTGGGGTCCCTTGGCCTGGCCTGTGGGATCAGCCCAAAACCGGCTCTCTGACATCCCCTGAGGGGTCCCAGATTACGAGAGGGCACAGGCCAGGCTGAGGGTCCCCACCAGTGCACGATCGGGGCTGAGGAGGGATACAAGAGATTGGCCAGCCTGGGAGAGGCCATGGGAGGGCTCCAGGGCATGTCCAGCCCATCTCGCCCAGTCCCAAGTGGCCTGACCCCAGCAGCAAGCTAACCTACCAATCGGAGCATCTGCCCCCTGGTGGTCAGTGCATGTCATAGCGATTGGTCGACTGTCTGCCCCCTGTTGGTCAGTGCATTTCATAGCGAGCAATTGAGTGACCTTAGCATATCATTAGCATATTATGCTTTGATTGGTTGAACAGATGACCAGACACTTAGTATATTAGGCTTTTATTATATAAGATAGGTACTTATTTATTACCATTTTAATTCTGTATGCCTAGATTTCTCTATTTCTTTTTTATATATATATTTTTTATTGATTTTTTACAGAGAGGAAGGGAGAGGGATAGTTAGAAACATCGATGAGAGAGAAACATCGATCAGCTGCCTCCTGGACACCTCCTACAACCAAGGTACATGCCCTTGACCGAAATCGAACCTGGGACCTTTCAGTCCACAGGCCGATGCTCTCTATCCACTGAGCCAAATTAGGACTCTATTTCTTCTTGTTATTAAGCAGACCCTTTAGCATTTCTTGTAATGCTGGCTTGGTGGTGATGAACTCCTTTAGCCTTTTATTGTGTGAGAAGCTCTTTATTTCATCATCTATTTTGAATGACACCCGTGTTGGACATAGTAATATTGGTTTCAGATCTTTGCTTTCCATTACCTTAAGTATTTCATGCCATTCCCTTCTGGCCTGTAGAGTTTCTGATGAGAAATCAGCTGTAAGCCTATGGAAGTTCTGTTGTACGTAATAAATTGCTTTTCTCTTGCTGCCTTTAGTATTCTCTCTTTTTCTTTATTTTTTGGCATTTTAATTATGATGTGTCTAGATGTGGGTTTGGGTTCTTGTTTGGGACTCTGAGCCTCCTTAACTTGTGTGACTTTTTTCTTCACCAGGTTAGGGAAGTTTTCTGCCATTATTTCTTTAAACATGCTCTTTATCTCTTTATCCCTTTCTTCCCCTTCTGAGACACTGAAAATGTGAATATTGTTATGTTTCATATTGTTCCATAGCTCCTTTACTCTGTCCTGTTTTAATTGTGTTTTCTCTTTGGTTCTGTGATTGAGTGATTTTTTTTAATCCTGTCTTCTAATTCACTGATCCAATCCTCAGCTTCCCGTAATCTGTTGTGAATTCCTTCCAATGTGTTCTTTATTAGTGCTATGTCATTTTTTATTTCCAACTGTTCTTTTTTTATAGTTCCTATATCTTTTCTAATACTGTTGAGAATCTTCACCATCATTATTCTGAACCCTAAACCAGATAAATTTATTATCTCCATTTCATTTATTTCTTCTTCTGGAGGAATCTCTTGCTCTTTCCTTTGGAGGTTATTTTCACTCTTCCTGAGAAAGAAATTCAGTGGAGGTTTTGAGCCAAAGAATGACATGATCTGATTTATTTTAATAAGGATATGCTAGTTATTGTATTGGGTATGGAATATTGAAAGGCAACAGTGGAAGTAGGGAGACCCATTATGATAGCATGTTAATCTTAGTATGGTTGGATAGGTGGTAAAGATACTGGTAGAAGTAGACATAATCTGGATATATTTTGAGGCTAGAAATGGGAGGACTTGCTGTTAGTTGTAATGTCCTACTCCTTTAGATTCTTGTTTAGTTGATCTTAGATGGTTCCTTGACATTGTATTTTACAAGTTCCTCAGCTGATTCAGCTTCTCACCAGAGGTGAAGAACCACTTTTTTAAATAATAAAAAAAATTATTGTTGAAAGTATTACAGATGTCCCCTTTTTACCCCCATTGACACCCTCCACCCTGTCCCCACTCTACCTCCAGGTCTTCCACACTCTATGTCCATGGGTTATGCATATAATTCCTTTGGTTAATCTGTATGTCGTCTTTGGAGAATATTTGACAAAGGAGGCAAGAACATACAATGGAGTAAAGACAGTCTCTTCAATAAATGTGTTGGGAGAAATGGAAAGGTACATGCAAAAAAATGAAACTAGACCACCAACTTACACCATACACAAGAATAAACTAAAAATGGATAAAAGATTTAAATGTAAGTCTGAAACCATAAAAATCCTAGAGAAAACCATAGATAGCAAAATTTCAGACATCTCTTATAGCAATATGTTTGCTGATACATCTCCTAGGGCAGTGGTTGGCAAACTGCGGTCCCTTTAGTGTGGCTCTTCCACAAAATACTACATGCGGGTGCACATGTACAGTGCAATTGAAACTTCGTGGCCACACTCAAGGGCCCAAAGAGCCGCATGTGGCTTGTGAGCCACAGTTTGCCAACCACTGTCCTAGGGCAAGGGAAACAAAGGAAAATTTAAACAAATGGGACTACATCAAAATAAAAAGCTTCTGCACAGTAAAAGAAACCAACAACAAAATGAAAAGGGATCCCACTGTATGAGAGAACATATATATCAATGATACATCTGACAAGAGGTTAATTTCCAAGATATATAAAGAACTCATACAACTTAACAAAAGGAAGACAGGCAATTCAATTTAAAAATGGGTGAAGGACCTAAATAGACATTTCTCCAAAGAACTGCTTCTATAAGTTCACCTTATTTTCTCTATTCTCATTTTCCTCTGCCCCCTGTTTGTTTGTTTTTTTTTTGCAAAGCAATCTTAAGAGCTATTTATTTGCTATTTTTAGTTTGTAATTTCTACCTTAGAAAAGCTTTCCTTTTTCCTGCAATAAAAAATACCTCCTATTTTCTTGTTATCTTACAGATTGGGAGTCCAGAAGAGAAACCAAGAATTTATCTCCAAAGGAGGGTAGTTATGAAATTAAATCATTGCAACCAAAGATAACAAAAAGACCTATAAGTTCTAACCTTGTGTGCACTAGGGTCAAAGATAATAGTGAAATCAAATGCTACTTGGAGAAACAACGGGATGGACATTTCAAACCAGTGGTAATGACCTCTGAAGAAAGGTCTACTTCTATTCAGTGTACAGTCAATAGATTACCTCAGATTATTCATACTGGAGTGAAATGTGAATGCAAGGAATGTAAGGAAGCTTTCAGTTACAAAGCATACCACCTCCAACATGAACGCAGTCATAATAAGGAAAAGAGCTCTAAATATGGAGACTATGAGAAAGCCTTTAATAGTAGATCAGACTTGATTAAGCATCAGAGAATTCATGAAAGAAAAAAAAGTAATGAACATGAGAAATGTGCCTTTATTCAGCACTCTGAAATTACTAAACCTCAGAGCATTAATACTGGTGAGAAAACTCATAAATGTAAGGAATGTGGGAAAGCCTTTCATTCTAGCTCACAACTTACAAAACATCAAAGGATTCATATTGGTGAGAAACCCTATAAATGTAAGGAGTGTGAGAAGGCATTTCCATCTACCTCACAACTTAATTTACATCAGAGAATTCATACAGATGAGAAATACTATGAATGTAAGGAATGTGGAAAAGCCTTCACCCGTCCCTCACACCTTTTTCGACATCAGAGAATCCATACAGGTGAGAAACCCCATAAATGTAAGGAATGTGGTAAAGCTTTTCGTTATGATACACAACTTAGTCTTCATCAAATAAGTCATACTGGTGAAAGACACTATGAATGTAAAGAATGTGGAAAGGCATATAGTTGTGCCTCACAGCTGAATCTGCATCAAAGAATTCATACTGGTGAGAAACCTCATAAATGTAAGGAGTGTGGGAAAGCTTTTATCTCTGATTCACATCTTATTCGACATCAGAGTGTTCATACTGGTGAGAAACCATATAAATGTAAGGAATGTGGGAAGTCCTTTCGCCGTGGCTCAGAACTGATTCGACATCAGAGAGCTCACAGTGGTGAGAAACCCTATAAATGTAAGGAATGTGGAATGGCCTTTACTTGTAGCACAGAACTTATTCGACATAGAAAAATTCACACTGGTGAGAGACCCCATAAATGTAAGGAATGTGAGAAGGCTTTTATACGAAGGTCAGAACTTACTCATCACCAGAGAAGTCATACTGGTGAAAAACCATATGAGTGTAAGGAATGTGGGAAGGCCTTTGGTCGTGCCTCAGAACTTTATCGACACAAGAAAATTCATACTGGTGAGAAACCTTATGAATGTAAGCAATGTGGAAAAGCCTTTATTCGTGGCTCACACCTTAGTCAACATCAAAAAATTCATGCAGCATAGAGGAATGAATGAAGACATGAGGGACAGTTCAGAATTTAATTGTAATCTGAAGTTCATACTAGTAAAACAGAAACAAACAAAATCCCCTGTGATTATAAGGAATGTGGGAAAGCATTTGAGGATAACAATTTAATATCTGAGTTTGTACTGTATATATAAAGTCTTTATTTAAGGGCCAGAATTTATTGAGCATTTGTTACTGATGAGAAACCTTATAAATGTTAGGAATTGGAAGCATTATTTGTGTTTTAAAATTTATTTGATATCAGTTCAATTGGTGCAAAAGCAAAAACCTTCATGAATGTAAGGAAAGTGTGAAGGCAGCAAATGTGTTAGAGACATTAATCATTTAAACCTTTCTCAACATCAGGGTCATTAACCTTTAAGAGAAATAAAAGGATTTATAATATAATTGGCATATATGTGGGACACCAATTTGCTTTAACTAACAAGTTATTTATCTGATAGTCATACTTGATGAAGGCTATATTAATATTAAAATTGTAGAAAATTAGTTTACCCTGCCCAAATCTTGTTCAGATTTGCAAACTTATTTTCTAAAATTAACTTGAACTAAATCAGAGTGGGAAAAGATTTAACCAATATTTAGTCTTTATTTGCCTTCACCACTATAACTCATTTTTTATAGGGCAAATTACTTAACTATGTCTAAATTTTCTCATTTACAAATTGGTAATATTAGCACCATATTTTTAGTAGCATTGTGAAAATTAAGTAATTACATTATGTCCTGTAGAACAGTGTCTGTATTGTATTGAAAGTCTGCTAGATAAGAGCTGCCTTTATTAATAAGCGTTTTTATTTTCATTAGTGTGTATTATTAGAGATTATACAAGAGGAAAGCCTTTGGGGTTCAGTAACTCTATGAACATCTTAATTCGTGTCTTTCTTTATTGAATGGTAAGTAATTCCTTCTGGAGAAAAATTAAAAACAAACTTTTATCATAGCTTATATTTTTGTCCCATCAGAAGATTCATAATGTAAAGAACCCCAGGAGAATAAAAGTGGGTAGCTATGAGGTCAGGGTGAAGACCTGGATGATATATTAAGACCTTAAAAAAATGACATAGGGCACACTCTATGGCTTCTGTTCTGGATAATTAGAAAATAACAAAGCCTTAGTCTAAATCCATTTTTTTTCTATGTGGAAATTTAAAAGATAACTAAATATTTTTATATTAAAAGGCAAATTATCATTAGTAATGAATGACAAAGAGAAGACTACATGTTGAAATTTGCAGGATATAGCAATGCAATACTTGAGGAAAATTTACTTCTTTCAATATGTGTAGGAAACAGAAAAAATTAAGGCCAGGATACTTTCCCACTTTATACTTGGTACACTGCCCATTCTCTGTTCCTGGTAGGTTTCCAGTAAACATTGATGATTGAAGGAATAAGAGAATGAATGAATAAGCATTTGACCATCATATGTTGAAAAGTTCTAACAAAATAATTGTAGGGCCAAAAGTGAAAGAAAACTTGAAAACATTTTTTGAGATGAAAAACACTGTATCCTATAAAGAAAAAATCTCGCCAAAACCGGTTTGGCTCAGTGGATAGAGCATCGGCCTGCGGACTGAAGGGTCCCGGGTTCGATTCCGGTCAAGGGCATGTACCTGGGCTGTGGGCACATCCCCAGTGGGAGATGTGCAGGAGGCAGCTGATCGATGTTTCTCTCTCATCGATGTTTCTAACTCTCTATCTCTCTCCCTTCCTCTCTGTAAAAAATCAATAAAATATATTTAAAAAAAAAAAAAAAAGAAAAAATCTCATGAATAAGAGAGGATATATAACTACAAAAGTGGAGGATATTTAAAAGAATAAGACAATATTATTGGGGCTGATACTGTTGGTTGCCTATTCATTGGTATTAACTATTCTTCCTTTGCCAGGGTTACCTGCCACCCACTTAAGTCTAAATGCGAGATGCTTGCTCACCTAGTTTGCTTTGCATCTTGGCATATGTATACCAGTCCTGACCATAAGAGAATTGAGCAAAAGTCTGCAAGTGAGCTTCAGTTAAGTTTTCTTTCCTAACAAAATAGGAGGAAATAGTTCTCTTTTATACAGAATGCATGTCTATATGTCTGTGATACCTGGAATTATGGCCATTTTGCAAACAGAGGGGTAAGAGACAGATTGGCATGGGATAGGTTGGAATTACCTTTGTCCTTAACATTGTTGAGCTGATGAAACAATTCAGAACTGCCCTGTTCTTGGACTTGTGTGAAATAAGAAGCTCGATCATATCTGTTATAAGTTTATACTCAACTTTTCATAATATATTTGAGTCTCAGGAAAAAATATTTTTATAAATATACACATTTATTCAACTTTATTTAGTAAGCTGGGACATTGTTTATATTCATATTTTTACAGTATAACAAATTGTGGAAAAGCATTACTTTCTTCAACATATATTAATACCTCGGACATATTTCATGTATGGTATAAGAGCACTACAATATATTGATTATGGCATTAAAGTGAGTCATGATCCTTTTGCTTTTGGAGAGTCTTGCCTTCAATTTGTAAAAACAAAAAAAATGTAACATCTGTGACATGCAATAAAGCAAACTACAATATGCATATATGTGTATAAGCACATTCAACTGTGATTTGGTAATTCATAGGAAACATGTGTTTAGAGTATTTTGCAGTGTGCCTGTTTATATTTAGCTTTTTACAGTTGTCTGAAATCCTAGAAAAGTATGATTTTCCTGAATCAAGTAAGAATCAAGAAAAAACTAAAGAACTACACCATGTTATTCCTCCATTACCAGAGTATCTTACAGATAAAATCTTCTAAGTTCAATATACAAAGAATCATAACCCGTTGACCAAATTTGGGTAAGGAAAGTATCCAAATCAGCTATAAAAAATAGTACATTGGCCAGAACCGGTTTGGCTCAGTGGATAGAGCGTTGGCCTCTGGACTGAAGGGTCCCAGGTTCGATTCCGGTCAAGGGCATGTTGCGAGCACATCCCCAGTGGGGGGCGTGCAGGAGGCAGCTGATCAATGTTTCTCTCTCATCGATGTTTCTGGCTCTCTATTCCTCTCCCTTCCTCTCTGTAAAAAATCAATAAAAAATATATTTAAAAAAATAGTACATTGTATTCATCGTATATGAATATTCAAATTAAAATGCCAAGTCAAGCCAAACCAGTTTGGCTCAGTGGATAGAGCATTGGCCTGCGGACTGAGGGGTCCCAGGTTCGATTCCGGTCAAGGGCATGTACCTTGGTTGTGGGCACATCCCCAGTGGGAGGTGTGCAGGAGGCAGCTGGTCGATGTTTCTAACTCTCTATCCCTCTCTCTTCCTCTCTGTAAAAATCAATAAAATGTATTAAAAAAATAAAATGCCAAGTCAAATCTAGCAGTCTAATAGAAAAGTAATAGAAATTTTTTATCCTGAATAAAGTGTCCTGACCTGTCCAATTGTTTGAAAATGTAATGTGTAAAGAGACCCAAGATGGCGAGTAGGTGTCAGTACACACTGCTCCTATAACCACATCAAAATTCCAACTAAAATATAGAACAACCATTACTCAGGACCACCTGAAAGCTAGCTGAATGGAAGTCCTACAACTACAGAAGTAAAGAAGTAAGCATATTGAGACTGGTAGGAGGGGCACAGGCATAGAATGGGCTAGTCCAATACCCATGTGTGCCCTTTTTTTCTTTTTTAGCTGGGAGGGGGATCGTTGCTGAGGAGGCTGCCCGTCAGGAGCAAGGGGTCCTAACCTAGGGTTCCAGAGTTGGGAAGAAAAGTCCTGGTAACTACAGGCTGTAAAGACCAGTTGGGATTGGAGATGCATGATACAGAGGTTGCTAGAGACCCAAGTGTTCCTTTTAAAGGGCCAGTGCACAAACTTACTTAGACTTAATCCTTCTAAGCTCCAGTACTGGGCAGCTTTTGGGGACCCAGAAACATATTGGACTGAATTGTCTGGCATCAGGGCAAGAACTTGGGAGTAGCTTAATCCCAGATGGGGGTACTTGCAGGGATCATTGCCCCTGTTGCAGAGCTGGCTGGTAGGATCTATATCTGTGTCTCCATCAGCCTGGCTTACCCCTTGAGTGCTAACCAATATTCTAGGAACTATGCTAAAATTGCCAAGGCATTTTTGCTGATTTTACAGCTGTTTAGGAAAAAAAATTATGAATTGCAAGTAAATGAAGTTACATATTCAAAAACTTAAGGAAACCTTTACTACATTGACATATTTAGCAATATTGTCATCACTGACGATAGCAATATTGTCATCGTAATCAAAGCAGACTTAGAACTGGACACCATTTCGAAGCTTTGATAGCACTCCTGGCACTTTTGGTGAAAGACAGGAGGAGCACAATCGCGCTCCCTGGCACTCTAGGGGTTAAACTGTTTGCCCTGGTGATTCCCTGAGATCCCATCCAAATTTCAGCCCCACCCAAGCTGTATGCAGCAGTTTTTCAATATGAATGTCCTGTCCTAGTTCAGGCTTCAGACTGACAAAATCTCTCAAAAAGCTGCAGATGGTATCAGCATGCCCCAAACCTATTAATAAAAGCCAAGACCTGGCACTAGCACCAGCCTGCCTTGCTTCACAGCTGGGCCTCACCTGGGCACTTCTAAGCCCAATACAAATAGTATCCATTTGCAGATCTCATCCTGCTAAGTGGCCCAAGGCAGTGGCTGACTTTGCACCTCCCTGAAGGCCTTAGAGCCAGTACACCAGATGGATAGCTTCAGACCACACCAGAATACAACTCTACATATCCATAAGTGACACACTCAAGGAGCAGATACAGTGAGCACCAAAGCCCCACTGAAGCAAGTCCTATGTCAGTGATGGCGAACCTATGACACGCGTGTCAGAGGTGACATGCAAACTCATTTTTTTGGTTTATTTTTCTTTGTTAAATGGCATTTAAGTATATAAAATAAATATCAAAAATATAAGTCTTTGTTTTACTATGGTTGCAAATATCAAAAAAGTTTCTATATGTGACATGGCACCAGAGTTAAGTTAGGGTTTTTCAAAATGCTGACACCCCGAGCTCAAAAGGTTTGCCATCACTGTCCTATGTCATAGAGGTGTCCTCTGCACAGCAGCTTTTTCATTGTAGTCACAACTGGTCCTCACAGCCAATTGGCCTGAAGATCAACTCCTCCCAGTGATGCCAATAGCAGTCAAGGCTTACCTACAAGACTGTGCACACAGTCCACTCATGGGTGTACCTAAAGTGTCAAGCTCAGGTGACTGGGGAGGCTGAGCCACTGGACACCTAATACACAAGGCCACTCTACCAATTCCAGGAGACATAGCAGCTCTACTTAATAAATAGAAATAAACACAGGGAAGCTGCCAAAATGTGGAGACATATCACAAATGAAAGAAATGGAATCAAGCAGTTTACTGGATACAGAGTTCAAAACCATGATTATAAGGTTACTCAACGATCTTCATGAGAGCTTCCAGGATCTTAGTGAGACTTTTACAGATCTTAGTAAGAACGTCAAAGACATGAAAAAGGACCAGAAAGAAATTAAGCATACACTAATTGAAATAATGGACAGAGATTCAGCAATGGAGTAGAGGACTCCGAGAATCAAATCAACTATTTGGAATACGAGGAAGCAAAAAACACCCAATTAGAAGAGCAAAAAGAAAAAAAAATCCAAAAATATGAAGACAGTGTAAGAAGCCTCTGGGACAACTTCAAGTGTACCAACATTCAAATCATGAGGGTTCCAGAAGGAGATGAGGGAGAACAAGATATTGAAAACATATTTGAAGAAATAATGACAGAAAACTCCCCCTACCTGGTAAAAGAAATA